AAGATTTTCTTCAAATCAGTCACCCGAGATATGTCCATATAGACCATTTCAGTAAGATTGAGTCCAGTGCACTCATCTGAAAACAAACGCTTTCATCAGGGCGATGATTGAAGCAGCAAGTACCTCTGAAACGTCGGTAAACTTCTACCACACTACACGGTGCTACAACCCAGAAGACAGCCATCTTCAGACTCACCGCCATGAAAACCTCAAATCCTACTAAGGGTATCGCGTGTTATAAAGAGGTGCGAAACATTCCTATTTTATAACACAGGTAAGCTTGCTTGTATAATCCAAGATCACAACAGATCCTCTTCATCAGATTCAATGAAGTCCTTCCTGAATATGCTGTGTTGGTTGTGTTATTGCAATTATGTTAAACTTGAAGTTACGTGGACAGGATGTTGTTAATGCCTAATTTTAAAAATATTTACCACTACACTTTGAGAAGTTCATAATGGCATCAACAAAAACCAATTTTAAACTAGATGACCTTAGCCTAACAGTGACCTCAACGTAACATAAGAATAACCACTCAGATAACTACAGTTAGGAAGATGTGAGGGCGAAAAGAAATGGACAAATTATAATTTCGAATTTTCAGCGGCACGTTTATCACAACATAAACTAATCCAACACATTCTGATCTGAACTGGAGTAAGCTAACCTAACTTAAACTAACCTAACTTAACCCAAAGCACCCCAATCTAACCTAACGTAACCCAAACTAACCTAACTCAACCTAAGGTAATCTATCCCAACAAAAATTAGGGAGTGAATATATATTCCGCCCTTTACATATTTATGACCTCTAAATGATGTGTGCAATGTCACTCAGATTCCTACAGTTTTCTATGGGTATGCGTGAGAAAATAGTACATCAAATGACCTTGAAGAGTATGACGCCACTAATTCTCAAACAGTTTGCGTGAACTTGTCGCGGTCTTGACATGACCTTGACCTATTCGTGACGTCATATTGACATGAGTATGGAAAACCAGGTATTAACGGTTTGGCAGAAATAAGCGTGAAACGATATGACCTTGAGAATTTTCAAGACCTGTATCTGGTAAATTATTGGCCCGATTTTGTCGTGACTTCCATATGACCTTCACCTATGCGTGACCTCATTTTGACATGATTATCGTCAACCAGGTTTTTACGGTTTGGAAGAAATAAGCGTGAAAATATATGACCTTGAGAATTTTAAAGAACTGTAGCAGGCCTATTTAGTCGTGATTTTCATATGATCTTGACCTATCCGTGACCTCATTTTACGTCAATATGGACAATCAGGTATTAACGGTTTAGCAGAAATAAGTTTGAAAAGATAAGACCTTGAGTATTTTAAATATCTGTATCTGGCGCACTATTGGGCCGATTTTGTCGTGACTTCTACATGACCTTGACCTATACGTGACCTCATTCGTACATGAGTATGGTCAACCAGTTATTAACGGTTTGGCAGAAATAAGCGTGAAAAGATGTGACCTTGAGTATTTTAAATATCTGTATCTGGCGCACTATTGGGCCGATTTTGTCGTGACTTCTACATGACCTTGACCTATACGTGACCTCATTCGTACATGAGTATGGTCAACCAGTTATTAACGGTTTGGCAGAAATAAGCGTGAAAAGATGTGACCTTGAGTATTTTAAATATCTGTATCTGGCGCACTATTGGGCCGATTTTGTCGTGACTTCTACATGACCTTGACCTATACGTGACCTCATTCGTACATGAGTATGGTCAACCAGTTATTAACGGTTTGGCAGAAATAAGCGTGAAAAGATATGACCTTGAGTATTTTAAATACCTTTATCTGGCAAACTATTGGGGCGATTCTGACCTGACTTCCATATAACATTGACCTATACGTGACCTAATTTCGGAATGAGTATGGTCAACCAGGTATTAACGGTTTGGCAGAAATAATCGTGAAAGTATGTGACCTTGAGAAATTTAAATACATTTATAAGGGAAACTATTGGGCTGACCTTGCTTTGACCTTGGCCTAACAGTGACCTCATCGTAACATCAGAATAACCAATCAGATAACTACAGTTAGGAAGATGTGAGGGCGAAAAGAAATGGACAAATTATAATTTCGAAATTTCAGCTGCACTTTTATCACAACCTAACCTAATCCGACACATACTGATCTGAACAGACCTAAGCTAACATAACCTAAACTAACCTAACTTAAACCAAAGGACAACCTAACCTAACTTTACCTAACCTACCCTAACCCAACCTTACCTTACCTAACCCAACCTAACCTAACCTATCGCAACCTAACGTAACCTATCCCAACCCAACCTAACCTAAACTAACCTAACCCAACCTAAACTAACTTAACTAATCTAACCCAACCTAACCTAAATTAATTTAACCTAACCAAGTCTAACCTAGCCTTACTTAACCCAACCTAACGTAACACAAGAAGCCCCCTCTTATCTAATGATATTACCCTGAATTAGTCATGAATTTATTCTATAAGAGCTAGCGCGCACGAGCGGTTTTACTGTCGCAGTGGTAAAACTACCGCAACCGAATATTCTTGTTGTCTGTGCACACGGACGGTGAAATAAACGCATTTTTGTTCAATTGGGATCTGGATTTTGTGAGACAGTTGACGTGTGCTCTAGGTTGGTAAGTCGAGTTATGGATTTTGTTGAGATTGTCACTGTGTTCGCTTTTTGCTAAGAGCAAGAGAGAAGCGTAGAAACAAATTTTGGTTCCCTCCACTTGTAAGTCAAAAATTGTTGATGGCCCAATTTCACAAGTTATATGAGGACCTGCGTGTTTATCCAAAAAAATTATTCAGATTTTTTGTCAATTTGGCTCTAGTTCGGCAGTAGAGCTTCACAAACTTCTATATACAGTTTCTCTTTAATTTTTGTCACTGTACACCGATATGACCGAACTGTACATTGCCGGCCTTTTCTCCTATTCAGTTACACCAATGGTCGCCGTGCGGCTGTTTCACCGCTCGTGCGCGCACACAGGTAGGGTTCTTCGTGTTCTATTGCTACCGCCAGGCGCTGTGCGGCCACCGCACCGCATCGAAAATGAAGCACGTTGCGGCAGAAAAACCGCTGCGGCCCAAACCGCTCGTGCACGCACGGTCTAACTTTTTTTAAGTCTGGCACCAGGTCGAAAAGAGGTTCGTCACCCCAGAAGTAGGCCTATCCTGTCCAGAAACTGGTGAACAAAACAGGCAATAAGCAAAGTCAAACCGTCACCCTTCCATCTCGACGTTCAATTGTGTTCAACGTAGGAGTGTCTCTTGAGTAAGGATAAGCGGTCAACCACCTCGCAGTGTCCCACCACAATATTGCTTTACTTGAACTTATAACGGATGTGCACTGTTTTAAAACATGCCAGACTCAGAGTTAATCTTATTGTCTCCATATTTATTAAATCACCATATCCACACAACCATTTGCCCACATCTTGATGTTATGAGGTGACATGTTTCGGATATTACTCTTCCATCTTCAGGTCACTGTCTATATGTAAACATAAGGAACCCGGTGTCCGACTGACAAAGTCTTCTGCGCAGAAGACTGCCTCGTAAGTGTCTCAGCTTCGTTGGGAACGGTTTACAAAACAGTTTGCAAGTCGTACAATGATGTTCATTATCCTTTCTTCCAAGACTGTAGCCTCTAAAGAGGTAAAACATGAAACCAAGAGACTGACCTCTTCCTCACGCGGAATGAATCTGCTTACGTAACGGGAACCAGTTCGCGCAAGGTGCACAATCTGTTCGTACTACTTAATCGAACGTCACAGCGCATAGCAGCTGTTCGCAATCACCGGCCCGTGGCCATTAGTGTAAATAAGACTTTGTTTCAAATATGTGGGTTTTATCGTGTCGAATAAGACATGATAAGACATGATAGACTAGACAGAGCTAATCCCTATCTCCGGAGATAGGGATTAGCTCTTAGTGGGCCCAACTGTGTAGGAACCTGAAGACGGAGATAGAACTCTATCTCCGAAACGTCGTTTTACGTTTTATATTTACTAGACGATGGATAATATCCAAGGAAATTTTTATTCAATTGACTCTTCACCATCGTCAAGAAGTTTTAGATTTGATATCATGAATGCTGATTAGATAAGGACACAAAAGAGAAAACTATTGTGACATGTTTCAAGATACTGTATCGTCCTTCGATAGCAGACACGAAGGGCAGGCATGAAACCACTGAGATTCGAATACTGCATCTTCCGAATAAATCCCCAGAATGCGAAAGACGTGAAAGCAATTCAGTCGTGATGTTTGTAAGCTGTTTCGGAAGTTTTGCACGCGAGGGAGAAGGGCTAAACGCACAGTCATCCACTACCTCTAACTCATTCCATGGAACAGAGTCGCCGTTCAGTGAGCCGGAAGTTCATTGCCGTATCCAGAAAATCCCGCTACAAATCCGTTGTAATATCAGGTCTTCGAGTGGTTTTCTCCCTTTGGGGCCTTCCAGCCAAATATCAGACGCATTTCTCGTCACTGCCATGCGCGCTACATGCCCTGCCAATTTCATCATACTTGATTTGATCATCCTAACATGGCTGTCTTCTGGGCCGTAACGCCGTCTAGTCTGGTAGAAGTTTACCGACGTCTCTGATGTCGTTCTTGCCTCCATCATCAGGGCGATAAAAATTAGTGAAGAGTATAAGATACGGCACTCCAGCCGCTGGCAACTTCTTCCTTGTCGGGTCTTTTGCACCTCATTCTCAAATACCCTCAATCTGTGTTCTTCCCTCAACGTAAAATGCCATGCTTCACGTCAAGACAAAACAACAGGTAAAATTATAGTTTTGTTGGCCAATACTTTAATTTCTACGTTTTTAGACAGCAAAACGGGAAGACCAAAGATGCTTACTGAATGGTATCGTCTGCTCTTGCTTCCTCGTGTATACAATTCCGGTTTGTTGATCTCGCCCATTGCTGCCTGTGTACGGTTGCTTGACTGATACCTTCCCGTTTCTGTTCCAGTTCTGAGCAACTCGCTGAAGAGACCAAGAGCATAATGGACGTGGAGTTCAAGGACCTCAGTTTCACGGTCAAACCGAGACCATGGAGCGGAAAAGGTATGTTGATGTTATCCACACGCATTCCATATCGCAGATCGGCGAAAGGAAAATAATCGGCTCCGACGTACGCAGTTTCCAAATGGGTCCTTTGTATTCCTCATAAATTCATTTACTGAAACCAAGAAGCACGCGTCACGAATCATAACACTTGACCTTGAGCCCACTCACCTGTCGGTCAGCATTATAATCTCTGGGCTGAAAATATCGTGCTTCTCCCCGTCCAATTATTCTGCTTCAACTTTGCAAACCTACACTGCCGTCTTTTGTCACCAACATCCCCGAATGAAAAACCCACGAGAATGGAATCTGAATCACGACATCCCATGTTTCGTCACACGCCACGGCCGACCGTCGAAGGACAAACTTTCAGATTCATGCCGGTCCCTACAATTTCTTTGCAAAATTAATCACACTGGATGGAGTCAAAAGAGTTAATCTTAAATTTTCCTAAAATATGTACCATATTAAAAAAGGAGCAGATTTTACTGAATCACAGTTGTATTTTCGTACTACATGCCTGGATGATAACAAAATAAAATTTCACTTTCAAGTAAAACAGGGGACCGATACGAAAAAAATTAAATTTCCGAAGTTCCTCTAATTATAGATTCAAAAATACCAAAATCAGTCGAAATTCCCTGCGCAATTTTAAAAGTAAAATATGCCAGCAGAATAAGAGATTACGGCCTTCCGTTGTATGTTCGTTGAATTCACTTAACGCAAAGAACACAGACAAATGACTGCGAAGTGATATTTCAGATGTGATGAAGGCTGTCTGCTCAGACTACGAAACAACAACCCAGAAAACCCAAAAGAAAGATCTTCGTGAATGAGGATGTGATGTACAGTGGCCGCAACATAACTCCGAGCCTGGATGCCCGTTAAAAAAACGCACGTGGGATGGAGGGTAAAACCTCGAAGCGATGGCAACCCAATCCTTCCTTGGACTTCAAATTATTGCGTAGAGGCTGTGGAAGTAATGCATTCTAAGTGTTTTATAGTTCCTTCTTTCACAAAATACAGCGCAGTGCATGAAAATACCACCGATTGTGCCCAAACGAAAAAGGCGAAAAAGAAATTAGTCACGATAAACCCCCTCAGACAGACTCTTTGCCGTCTTGTTCCCCATCCGCCCTCTCCACCTTCCTTTCCCCTCTTAATGTGACGCAGCTGAAGCTCGCAGTTATGTTGTGGAAACTGAAGTCCGTATGTGCATCAGATGATCGTCTTCTCCGCGTCAAAAGACAGTTCCCAAGATGTGACTGGATGTCGTGCAATTAAAATGGGGTGAAGATAATCCAGAAAACCGCAAATAAGGATTTCCGGTCTGTGGTTAAGATTAAGACATGAAGATGGTCTTCTGGAATGTTGTACAGTCGCAATCACATTTAGAGAATAATCAAAAGTTCTAAGATATTTACAGTTGCTGTCGTAACAGGAAAATATATCACCTGTCATTTAAAAACTATGTACAAAATACTGCCGTAAACAGGACGCAGGTGGAAAAGGATCGGTCTTCTCGGTACTCACATTGAGATATTATTAATACCTCAGAAATCACTTGCAGAAATTAACGGGAAAACCCAAGAGACAATATGTATTCCTTCATGTTTCATACAATTTGAAGGTCAGTTTCTTGTGGAAAAGTTGTAAACGCCCTGTGACTAACATATAGGCCAGGCGCAAACGGAGCCACTAGCCACAGGCACTTGTGACCGCCACAAGCTGCGGACTGTATTTTGTATGGAGTTTTAATAGACTCAGCGCAGACACGGCGTTCGTAGTGGCTCGACTGGGCCACTCGCTGCGGTAGTGGCCGTGTCTCGCTACTTGTGGCTGCCTCCGACCACTGTTTATCCCGCGCAAACGTCTGCATAAAGTGGCGACTACTTGTGGTCGTGTTTAGCCACTAGTGGCTCCGTTTGCGCCCGGCCTAAGAATCCAAAGTTAGGCCTGTCTGTTTTTGTATTTTAGAATAAACATTTTAATTATTCCTCCATTCTCTCTACGAACTACGGCTTAGATGATTTCCTTCGTGCTAAACAGGGATCATATTAAAGTGATACAAACCGAAATTACATTTACGTGGCAAATGTCCAGCACAAAATTTAACGAAATTTCTTTAAGCAGTTTTTTGTTAAATATGCGGATGGAAAGAAGGGCAAAGGTGCCCTCCCATAATGCAATAATTTTATGAACTTCGTTAGAAATAACGCAAATAGTGGATGGGGGCCAAAAAAAGGCAAACTTTCTCATTTTTATTGACGAACTCTTCAGAGTACATTTCTCAATGCATTGACATGAACTGCACGATTATTACGTACGTATGTGCTGGAAGACGAACGAGCCAGTCACATGCTGATGACTAACAATCACTCTGCAGACCACGTGACTCTTGACGGAAGCCAAGTGACGTAAATCAAGTTGAGGTAATCACTCGCCCTCAGAAACTTCTTTACAGAATTTTTCAGCGTACCAGGAATTCTTTGTGTCACGGGGATATGTTATGTGCTCAAACTAACAGAGACCAATATCAGCAACAGTTGTAAACATTTTAACACTTTTTAAACATTGATGTTTTCTAAAATATTTATTTCGTTTGATTTCCAAATGCTTTTATTTCTCGCTGTCAAATCGGTTGCGACCATAAGTTCATCGTAATTTTTGGTTTAATTTTAGGGATTGAACACGATCCTTATCCTATTGCATGTAATCAAAAATCGACCTGGAAATGTTTGTAAGCGTGTGTACGTGAGTTCCGTGACGCTATCACAAACCACACCAGTTCCCGTTCCTGCAACCACATTCGTTTAATATTCGTCATTTTTACAACTGATAAACTGAGACGCCATGGTTGGCGAGTTAAATTTACTACTGAAGGTGAGGCTTTTACGATGATGTTATGTAGCCTGTGGTCTATAAGGTCGCACAGTGTACACTTTTGACTATACACCGTTTCAGAGGAACATGATGATTTCATCTCTATAATTTAACCTTGAACCCTGGTATACAGTTAGAATACCACAATAATACAAAAAACTGTAATATATAAAAAGACTCTAAAAATCTGAAGTCCGCTAACAAAGAAAAAGGAGCAAATGAATATTATAATCCAATTGGATGAAACATTTCAGGTCTACAAAAATGTGTTCTGAAGTCGGTGAGCGGGAAGTTCGCATCTGGGAAACTTTCCGCGATCATGGGGCCGTCTGGAGCCGGCAAAAGCAGTCTCTTGAACGCAGTTTCCGGCTACAGGTAAGCCAAACAGATGAATGTCGCTACTGCAGACTTGACAGGTGTGGCAACTAGAATGTGTGTGGACTGAGACGACAAAGGAGAAAGGAGTTGAGATGAGTATCTGGGCACAAGAAGCATGAAGTTACAGGAAACTGGAGAAAATTACCAAAAGTCGAACTTTTTAACTTGCGATTTCTATCTAATAGGATTACTATGTGTGATTATATAAAGAAGAATGAAACAGATGGAATGTAAGTGGACCTATAATGTTTAAAAAAATAAAGAAATGACAAATGCGTACGGAATTTCGGTTTGAGAACCTCTAAGTACGAGACCGTTATGCAAGTGTATTTTTTATTGTTTATTTAGTGTTGTGTCTGACATATGAACTGGATCCTTCGATCCTTTTCTCGGACTGGGACCTGTTCATATACGTTCTTGGCAGATGATCCAGAAGTGGTTTGCCATTGCCTTCTTCTGTGTGAGTGTGAATGGAGTAATTGTTGGGATGCCACGGAGAAACCGGGGAAGCCCCCCGGAGGAAAACTCCGTGTTGCTAGACCACGGCCTTGCCCAACACAAGTTATAAATTCGGGCACCGCCGGGAATCGAACCCGAGACCCCAGGATTACAAGGCCAGCGTTCTAACCGCTAGACCACCGTGGCTGTGGAAGTGTATAATGAAGGATAATAATGGACCACAGAGACAAAGAGTGTGTTTATGTTTTTTTTAATCTCTTCGAACATGTAGTCACTTGCTTATAAAAAGTGTAACCGTTTGTAAGTCATTTACTATGTCTGATACAAGATTTACGTCACATGCATAAAATATGGGAAAGATATCACGATTGAATTAGAATATTCATTCGCATTCAGTTTAACGCGTGGGCTTACAGGTTGTCCCTGAACTGTGTGTCACAGATGAATGTGAAGTTTCAGGTCATCATACTGACTTCATTACAATACACAGTTGCATTTTTTATTGACTGTAACTTAGTTTTATGTCTGATGAATGTTTAGCTGCGTTCACAGAGGCCGAAAAGATTTTAGTAATGACGTTACATGGCAAATGTTCTATATTACAAGTGCCGCAATTATTAGGCAGGTTTTAGGATTAGATTTGTTCTATGGTGAACGATTAAGGAAATGGATATAGGATAAAAGGGGGAAGGAGACAAAAATCATTCTCCGTTGAATTTCAACGGGCTATTTTCGCTGTTAATAGATGTCATTTGATAATAAAGTAATTAAATTACATATTACATTGTGTTTCCAAACTGTCATGTTCTTTAGGTTTTCTTTATAGCTATATAGATGCACCAAATATGGTTGATGAAATCAAAGAGTGTGGAATGGGTGGGAATGTAGTACGCATGGGAGATATTCGAAATGCTCGCACAATAGTAGTCGGAAGACCTAAAGTGTAGAGACCACTTTGGAGGCCTATGCGTAGATTAAGGATAATATTAAAAAGGATTTAAATAATTAGGTTATTTTGATATACATGGATTCATCTGATTCGGGACAGGGTCCAGTGGCGGATTATTTTGTAATCGGTTTTGAATTTTTGAGTTCCGTAAGAGGCGAACAATTTACTGACCAATTAAGCTACAATTAGTTTCTTGAGGACTCTGCTCCATGAAGATACTTATTACATTACAACTGCAAATAATTTGTATAAAAAAGTATTTCACGATTAACACAGTTTGTGTGTGCTGTTGATCACTTTGCTTGCTTATGTCACCAGGACTCTGGGAGTGACTGGAACACTGTGCACAAATGGCGAGTCGAGAGACAACCGCATCTTCCACAAACTTTCTTGCTACATTACCCAAGAAGACTTAATCCAGCCACTGTTAACAGTTCAAGAGATCATGATGGTTGCAGCCAGACTGAAGCTTCCAGGTCACACGCCAGAGAAACGCAGGTTGAACGCGGTAATGATCTTTCTTGAAAATGGGATAGTACCTCATCCTACTGCCAGTAATTTCTCTGCTTTCAATATACATTACTGGTCTGACAAAACTCCCGCAACTGTACCACACAATCATACACAGTTTCTCTAAGATCAATCTTATCATTATCCTCCCACCTGTGTTCAGGTCTCTGAAGTGGTCCTACAAACAATTACGCAATAATAATAATAATAATAATAATACATTTTATCAGAAAAAAGCAATAGCTTCAGGCGAGCATTATACAACTCAGAATATGATAAAAATACTAATAACACAGATCGCTTGCAAGTATACCGACCCAAACATTTCTGCAAAATGTCCTCGGCGTCATTTTCATTGCTTGTAACGCCAATTTTACGTGAAGACCGTGACATTTATACTATTTATATAATAACTTCCCTCGAAAATGTATTCTTATGTTCATATTTTACCCTTGATTAGGAACGAGTGTTCCAGGGATAAAGTTGCCAATGTTGCCTTCACAGACCGATCTTGAGTCTTGTATTTGAGTTCATAATTTTCAGACAATGGTAATTCGACGTCGAAACACTGTCAATTGGTTATTTGCAGGAATCGCAAAAAGTTATTCCTTCCACATACATCTCGAGCTGTTTAATGATTCTTTTTCTCAACTGCGTAGATTATAAAGTGCTGAATATGATCAGAAGACCTTCAGGCGGAAACAGGAAATTTATTACCGTTTAAACAAGAATCCACCAATGGACCCTGAAGGGAATAGGTCATTTGTAGAACCTACCCTTAGATGGAAGGATAGCGTTAATGGTCATTTTAGGGACTACGGCATGAATTATAATATTAAAATGGATTTTAGACAATTGGATATGAGAGTGTGGGCTGGATACAACTGGGTCAGACCAGGGTCCAGTAGCTAGCTCTTAAAAACGCGGTAATGCACTTCACGCTTCCATGATAGACGGGAAATTTGTTGATCAGACAAGCGACTATGAGCTTATGAAGAATGACGCTGCTCAGTTATTGCGTTCTGAATATTGTTTTTAGGTGATTAATATGTAACTTTGTGTGGTCTGCAGGTCCACGAGGTCCTCAATGATTTGGGTCTCTTCGAAAATAAGAACACAAGAACGGAAATGCTATCAGGAGGTCAGAAGAAACGATTGTCGATAGCGCTCGAACTAATCAACAATCCACCTGTTTTCTTCTTGGACGAACCCACAAGGTAACACAGCAATGTCAGCGTTTCTTAACCTAGGCACCGATTAACAGTAAACGTGTATGGAAATGAGAGTGTGGGCTGGATACAACTGGGTCAGACCAGGGTCCAGTAGCTAGCTCTTAAAAACGCGGTAATGCACTTCACGCTTCCATGATAGACGGGAAATTTGTTGATCAGACAAGCGACTATGAGCTTATGAAGAATGACGCTGCTCAGTTATTGCGTTCTGAATATTGTTTTTAGGTGATTAATATGTAACTTTGTGTGGTCTGCAGGTCCACGAGGTCCTCAATGATTTGGGTCTCTTCGAAAATAAGAACACAAGAACGGAAATGCTATCAGGAGGTCAGAAGAAACGATTGTCGATAGCGCTCGAACTAATCAACAATCCACCTGTTTTCTTCTTGGACGAACCCACAAGGTAACACAGCAATGTCAGCGTTTCTTAACCTAGGCACCGATTAACAGTAAACGTGTAGTAGGCATGTCGATACGTTCTGTTAAACACAGTAATGTAAACAATGTAAAATGTTAGTGGCAAAATCTGAAGTGAAGGGGCAACTTGTCAGATGCAGGCGTAGATGGAAGAATAACATTAAAATGTATGAGTGAGAAGATTCGGACTGGATTCATCTGGATTTTGAAAGGGATAAATGTTGAACTCAACAGATGACGGCGATCAATCTTCGCTCAGGGAATTTCTTAATGTTCTCACGGCACTGAAGATGTCGATGGTGGCCTGAGTTGGAGCTGGAGATGGGGGCAGTATGTTCCTCCAAGGTGTTTGTACCGACGTATAAGTCCACAGAACGTCACAACTCAAGAGACCACCATGGACAGTTACTCGACTCTTCGACCTAGTCGTGAAAGAACGTTCACCTCTCCAGGCGTTCTGTTTTGCGTTACAGTGGTCTGGACAACGTGACGGCGAGGCAGGTAGTGCAACTGCTACGAAGACTGGCGAGGCAAGGTCGCACCATAGTGTGCACGATACACCAACCCAGCGCGTCCTTGTTCCAGCTTTTCGACCACGTCTACATCGTATCACAGGGCCTCTGCGTGTACCAGGGCACGACCCAGAACCTCGTCCCGTTCCTGTCGTCTGTCGGCCTGCACTGCCCCACGCACTACAACCCGGCGGACTTCGGTAAGACAAACAGAATCGACCTGATACGTCGGAATTCTTTGAGTAAACAAGATGGGATATGTAAGCAGAGCGAAACAATTCTTGTGTCTTCGCTTTTTTTATTACACCTAAATTTTCAGTTCGTAAATGAACCCTTTCAACAGCGTAAGCGATGATGGTGGGCTGTTTGTTACATCGAAACTTTTTCGAACAGCGCCAGTGATGTCACAGAGGTCTCGACCTGACTACCAAGCGTGGTAACTGTGGCTGATTCCCGTCTCTCCCTCGTCTCTTTGCACTTTTTCAAGGACATTTACGCTCGTATAAAAACATCCAGGTCTTCAACCAGCGCCCGATTTTATCCAAGAGTGGAATCTACTACAAAACCACAGATATAAACTTACACGTAAATCCGATCATCAGCTATTCTCAAGGCAGGTATGGCGAATCTAATAAGAGCTTACTTGCAACTTTTCGTTGCAAACTCGCCAGAAAATAATCTATTGATTTCCAATCCATGCCATAATTCCATCCGAATCTCGTATCTTCCCACCTCATATCTAAAACGTACCTACACATTAAAATGTGAATCTTACCTCAAGTTTGAGCCCTCATATTAGGGGAATGACACAGATTGAGTTTGAGAACATGGAGAAAATCTCATAATGAGGACATCCAAAATTTGTAAGCCTGCTCTTCACCGATGTTATTAAGATGACAAAACCAAAAAGAATCATATTATCGAGGCGCGTAATACGCTTGAGAGATGAAAGACTGACAGAAAATTACGATCTTAAAACCTGAAGAGACGAGACCATTTGGAAGACCTAGACATAGAACGGAATGTTAGAATATATCTTAAGGAAATAGGGTGAAACTGCGTGGATTGGATTAGTCTGGCTCACAATCAGTACCAGTGGGAATAAATCTTCTGGTTTCGTAAAAGAAGGGAAATATTATAGCACTACTATTTTTTTCAAGAAGTATACTGCTCCATGGAGTTAGTAATTCATATTGTCACACGAACGTAAATTTTGCAACATGCATGGTTAAATTAAATCCGTCTGCTAAATTCTAAATGTAATATAGGCTATTAATACCGGATGCTCTGGATGCAGTTCAAACAAAACGCCGGCTGAGAACGTTAGGAGGCCAAGAGAATATCCCAAAAGCCATGAAATCATTTACAGCCAGACTTATAATTCTGAATCTAATGACAAATTTGCACGAAATTTGATATGACCAACCCCTGCAGCGCAATTTCATATCGCCAAGTATACCAACATAGCTATTGTGTACGCAGAAGAGTAATTTTAATATAGCTAATTTTTAAAACCTGCTCGAAACCTTACAGAGACGGGAACATTAAAATAAACAAAGGCTGTTTGTGTAATGCAAGCTTCTGTGTGTCAAGAATGTTGATTAAATTAATGCCTTGTAATTATGCAACTTGCCGATCTATCGCTGCCTTCTTTTTGCGTACTTACAAGTTCACCGGTTTTGTTGCTGGAAAAAAACCTTCAAGGTTATGGCTCTGAACAGTATCTGTGTCAGCTTCGCTTTCCCTTCAGTACTTTATAAGTTGCCCCGCCCCTCCCACAACCCGACATAAGTCTTTTTGTACTTTTGAATAGACCCACCTGTCGGACTGCATGTTGAGAACAAAAATATGCTGGCTGTTACGGTCCGTAAAACATGATAGTTCTTTCGGGATTGATTGATACTTAGGTTAATTAACGCTATATATAAAAACTGTATGACCAGCTTGTTTTATGGAGTGTGTTTAAAGACGCATTAATTTAACGATGATCTGCAGAGCAACATGTTAGGTGGGGTGCATGCAAATCCTTGTGGAAAGTGGCAATTTGGAAGACCAAGAAGGAGAAGAGGACAACATTGAGAGGAGTATGTCAGTGCTGGTCCTCTGGACATAAACGCCATTTGTACTTGTTTATCAGAAACGTTGATGTCTATCATAAGTCTGCATGGCGTTACCACCCAGAAAACCTACGACTTCACTGCCGTGGGAACCTGAAATTTAACAAGTGATACGTTGTAAAGATGCCAGGGGGTTGGAACAGGCTCAGTGTCCTGTCTTTAATTTGTTGTTGGGTTTCTTAACGACGCTTTTTCTAATATTTTAAATATAAGACACGAAATGAAAGGTGGTTTTGGATAAAGAATTTCAAAGGACGTGGGTGAAAGCGTCCGTAGTCTATTATACGGCATTATTCCAGCATCTGTCTGGAGTGACTGGTATGTATGTGGTCTCGGAGTCAAAGTTTCGAAACCGGGACCTTCCGGTAAAAGCCAGTGTTTTTGACTGCTACGTTCATTGCGGGGCATGTTACTGTCGGCGTTCGGTCCTAACCAACCAGAACGTGCGTAGTTAGTCAGCTAACACATCTACTTCACTTAGCACGCGTACTTAAACTTCCCTGTATTATTCTTCTCCTTTTGCAGATATGGCCTTACGGCATGTTCCAATTCAAAGACTCTTCAGAAATTATGAACATGCCTAGGCATTTAGTAGGACTTATTAATCTGGTGATCAGACTCCTTAGGAGCTGCGTCTTTCAGTATCCAAAAGTAGTACACGTCGGCCGGAAAAAACAACTGATTTTCCGTACTTCTTTAGAATTCTCAGATGCCATCAAACGTAAGACGCACCCCTATTTCAGATATTTTAAAATGTGAAAAATCTGCGTCTTAAAAAACAGGAATTACTCGGTAACAGTAGTAGATAACGCGCCGTATCGAACGTGCTGTACAAACAGAAAATGAACCACATTCGAACACCACAAAGAGTGAGATGATCAACTTGTTTAGGGAACACAACATCCCATATTCTGATGAAAGGCTGGAACCACAGTTGTAGAAATTCATTCTAATACGTAAGTCATCACCTTACAAGAGATTCTGTACGAACCAGATACGTTCAAGTTATGAACACCCCATTGTTCGTTTGCCACGTTACCGCATGCTCTGAATCTCGCAGAAACAATCTGGCCACAACACGAATAAATGTCGCATTCAAAACAGAAGACACGAAAGAGTTCTTTGAAAAGAAGCTTAGTGAAATGGGACCAAACGAACTTCGTCATATTTGTGAGCACGGTCTTGAAAGCGCATACTTGGGAAACGAAGTCCTAGTCGGCCTCAATAGTAAAGCAAGAAAAACTGAATCAGATATTGTGACAGATTCCAGTGATGCATCTAGCGAAGCGGGACTTAAGCCATTACTCAAGTTCTCCTTTCTGCAGTTGAGGTCAATCTGTGCGTATTGCCAACGTCACTAGCTTCCAGACAGAAGGTAAACAAACGACATTATTTACGCGGGTAATAAGACAACTAGCCATAAAGTATTTCCGCTGGGAAATAATGTTTATCCTCTGATTGCCTTGCCATTTACGGTCCTCAGACGCACAGATTCATCCCGACTACAGTACAGACATTAAAAATAAGTAGTTTTAAAATTAAAGCGGGAGCAGGCTGTCGTAGCATCCCAAAAAAATACGAATAATTTTACACCGTACACAACTAAAAAAATAAACTGCTAGCATCTGCCCCTTATATGAGACATCATACACAGGTACCACTAGACTCAACACACTGCACGCTACATACAACACACAGTATGTTATATAAGATTAAGAAAACAAGCAACAAAATAAACTTTCGCGGCTACTGAAACGTTGGCACAGGATGTGGTGATTCACCATTCAGCCACCTGACACGGCTTGGAACCCGAGTCTTTCATCAACAAAATAAACGTTCAGGTGTAATAGAAGCAGTACACAAGCGTCTAGATTACGTTAGTCCCTAAAACAATTAATAATTTCATAATACTGTGACCGTAAACATTGAAAGCATTCATAAAGATTTCGGCAGCACAGTAATCTGCACTGTGTGCGCGCGTGGGTTTGTTTGTGCTGAGGCAAATGATGGCACATTATAAGCAGTTTTCGCCTGACAGCTGAACACCCGTGTCTTCGAACATCACAAAGGAAGTTCATTAACAAACAATGTTTAACTAACTAAGAATAGCTCCTTACCTTTCGCTTCTGCCTCTCGTATTATCAAGTTCACTTAAAGCCCAGGACACATGCGGAAATTTCCTTTAGGTTAGAAACACAACACGCGGCTTCAGACACTTCGGACATTATAAACAAACGAGCACAACACACATTTATTAGGATTTACTTCGTTTTAAGCACTTCACCAGATGTAACACATGTTTCAAGCACATATCAAACGGATTAAAAGAATTAACGACTCAAACCTGACCTCACCATGCACTAGCAGTGTGATACTGGGTCGCAACTGCTGTTTCTGTTGAATGATGGGTAATCATGTTTCACATCCTAAATTACTCACACGAGTTGTAACCGGTAACATCAACTTAATTTTTCACATTGTTCAACTTACAAAACAACTTGGTCTGGCTTTTTGCATAGTGCACCATCAGACCACTAAAACTGCAGGGATATAAAAGAATTGAAAAATTATGCTAGTTTGGACGAAAGTTTTAAAACGAAGGTATAGTACTTATATAACCAATTTCAACCATAGCAGAATTCACATACGGCAAGACGGCTTGTTTCCAGATACGGTACATTTTTCTCTTGGCTTCCCTGGTGGAAAGCAGATTACCAACGCTTAAAAGTTAGTTTTATTTTCTGGGTGTATGATTTTATAGTACAGCTCTTGTCCAAGCACTTGTAACCCTTCTAGTTACTGGATGAACAAGATTATTAGATTTGTTGTTACTGTTTAATATTCACTTTAATATTATTCTTCCATATACATATAGGTTTCCTACGTATCCTTTTACATCGAGGCCTTTAAACAAGAATTTTGTATGCATTACTTCTTTCCTCCATGCAAGTTACATTGTTCCTTAAACATATGAGTAAGCGTATGAAAAAAGAAATGAGACACAATTAAAAATTAAATTTCAGATTGATACATGATGTAAGGATGGTTCCATGTAAATGTCCGAGGACAATTACTGGCAACGTATTTGGTCGACTCGCAAAATTTAACCCAGTTCCAGTCGAGATATGAACCCAGAACCTCCAAAATAGTAAGCAGGAAAGTGCCATGACTTTGCATGCATCTCAGTGAGTCACTAAGAGTTGTTTTCTTTCTAAGTTGGCTGGAAAGAATCAATGGTAAGCATGTCCTAAGCCCTAATGCTTAATGTGGCTTTGTGTGAGGCGGAAAAAAACATCGCCCTCGATCAGTGAAACAGAACTTCCCCTAATATAATGTCTCAATTCCTATATTTAATTGTTTTATTCTGTAATTTAATTTCTCACACATTAACTCTTACGTGTAAGAAACAATTCATCAATCATGGAACAAACAAGAAATGCTCACAACACTTCTGTCCTCTGCCATCCTTATGATCAATGTCGTTGCATTCACTGCACGCTAGATTTCATCAACTAAATTCTCGCTGAAAGTCAACAAGTTACTGAACAGATGTTGGGCCTGTAGAGGAACTCGTTATAATGAAGTCTCCATTATTGATAACATCACACCAGACCTCCAAAAACTGTTATTTCTGTCGCAGTGATTGAAGTAACGGATGGAGATAAGCAGAACATCACAACCTTGTCAAAAGCTATTTGTAATGGACAAGTGAGCTGGACACAAACCATTCCACTTACAACAAAAGAAGATGAAACGAATGAGGACACAACAGGAAAGACAGAAGAAAGACATTCTCTTTGCTTCCAAACCAAAGAAGTTGATGTCACAGGTTTGTACAAATATCATGATTGTAAGTCAAGCGTCAGGATTATTTAAACATTGTCATTGTATCAACTGAATATGATTTTCAAAGATTACACTGAAGGATTATAATTATTTGTAATAGCTAATACACATATATTATCAGTTTTCTAAAAACACAACTTTTTGTGTGAATTAATTTTGCAAATGTTATCAAAAAGCATACACGTGGTAATACATGAAGTTAATTATTTCTGTTCACATAATTTTTTTCATTCTTGCATACACATTATGAAGTTAACGAATAAATATAATTTGTACTTCCAAATTACAAATGTCTTCATTGACACTAAATGAAAGAAAATAAACCAACAGCAATAAATAACACTGAATAGCTTAGCTCCTAGGAAAAAAAATCAAACAATAGAACTTTTTCAAATAGGCCTGGGCCTATTTTGTAGTCATTACTTTTGTAAGGTGCTTTGAATGAAGAAAAAGTGTGCTTTACATTTTAGTAATTCATGGGAATACGCAATTGCAAAATGGCAAGGCTGACAAGTTTATACTTATTCCGCTCATCTAGACATTTCCTATTATAAAACTCGACGAGCATCACCATCATTACGACAAAGTATTCTGGGCCCCATCCTCACAGCCTGCTTCCTTAATATACATTTTAACATTTTTCATTGTGTTTTCAAAGTACTCTTTGTCAAAACTGTTCTGTATTTGTGACCTGCCCTTGTCATTATCATTGATTTCATTACTAACCGCATGACAGCGGTCTTACTTCAGAAGGAGAGTTCCTCAGCTGATTAAAAAATTTCACTTTTATAAAAGCTAAAATTTCATCAGTATGTGCACTGTAGTCCACTACTACTGTCTCAATCAAGTTCACAATTTCACATCCTGTTTCTACATGCATATCTTATTTCCCACACCTTAACTACAAGTCTAGTTTGTTAAATTCATTATCAATTCATTCAATGATAAAGTTGAATGCAACTGTCCCTCATTGACTCCTGGCTCAAATGCATGATGTCACCAAGCATTACAAGGTTTTCACGATACAAGTCAAGTATTCCTCCATAAAAGCTTTTTAAATCAACTTACCTTTGTTTAAAGTAGTTCTTGATGGAAGCCAGGAAGTGACATTTGCATTAAACTCAATGTAGTTACCTATTCCATAAATCATGAAGTTGCTTCTGTATTTCATTCCCCTGCACTTCAACATTTAAAATAAATATGAATGAAAACAGGTTCAAAAACTCTGATGGTTTCTAAAAAGCCAACATATTTCGTTATGAACAGCCAGTGGAAGTAAAGGCGCAGACACATCCAGCGATGGCAGTTCGTCCGATTTGCACTGCATCGTCACGTACAGGCGGATGAGCCAGGTGAAGGATTTGAACTACCCGACGTCAACTTGGTTCCAGTTCTGGGCCCTTTTCAGGAGAATGATGCTGCAGATAAGTCGCAGCAGGGTAAGTGCTAACTTATAGTGATGGTGACACTGCACTCTGAAGAAACAACAGTTCAAGGAAAAACTTATATGAAATATCTTTCATTGAATGCTTTAACCTACGTTCTGCAGCTAGCAGTGTAATAATTATACAATTTAGTGGCCCATTTCTGTACTATATTTCAGATATAACATCATCAAAGATTAAGACCACTGTCATATTTATCTTTAATACATTAGAAATGGTTTCAACAAAATTTTTAGGTTAATTTTTTTTCCAACACTAAATTTTGCAAATCTACGATGGATCATTAATTACTGCAATCAAACTGTAAGGTAAAAATAGATTTCAAATCAACTGTGCTTTTGAAGTGAGGAGCAAAAACCCTTTCTTCTATTTTTGGAAGGGTTAGAACACATTTAGCCTATCCTTGTTTCTAACCATATTAATAATTCTCATGAGAGTTCGTAGAATTCTACTTAAAAGTGCGGAGAAGAAATTAGCAGTTGTATGAGGAGGAACGCATTAACAAAGGCCTATATTTATTTTGCAATTTACTTATTTTTGTAGTTTTACTTCCATATTTGTGCTTAATATTTTCTTAAGTTTCTTTCGGCAGCTACTTTGAAACCTGAAACCATACATCTAAATGATGTAATAAAATTGCATAGTATAGAAGTCTAACTGAGGCCTTATCACAAGAAAAATTAACATGAGGGGTTATATGACTCTTAAATAAACCTATTAACAGACTATTTGAGGCATTTTAGACAAGTCTTCAAATTTCTTCTTCAATATATCAGTCTTTGTTTGACATCCAAAAGCAGTTACCAAGTGCAATGAGGTTGTCAACATCATAAATTAAGTAATTTAATGTTCATCTAAACCTCAAAATTCTCCTTCCAGCATCCCCCTGGTCTTCCTCTAACTCTGTATCAATTCTATGCTACTCGTTTTGTATCATATAATGAAATATGTTCCTAGTTGTCTGTTTTGGGGGTTGAGAGTAAGCAGACATTCAGATCTGTAGAGCAGTGGTCCCAAACGCGATGCCCGCGGGCGCCATGGCCAAGGCTTTTTTTGGGTGCCCGCGTTGATATGGAAAGAGGTTATACTGAATGATGAAGGCCGTTCAACCATGAACATTATAAAATCAAAGCACAGATCTCGACTTACTGACGCCCATCTTGACGATTGTTTGCGAGCAGCATCATCATCCTACACTCCCAAATTTGAAAAACTGGCCGATGAAATGCAGCGCCAGATATCACACTAACTTCCCACTTGAGTAATAATAATTGTACTTATAAAACTACATATTTTTGATTGCATCATTAAACGTCGTGTTGTTTTGTGTATTATTTGGTGCCCATATCTTATTTGTCCAGAGAAAAGAAAATTTGGCTTTGTTAATTGGTTGGTGCCCGCCACGATCTCATAAACTCTCAAATGTGCCCGTAGGCACAGAAAAGGTTGGGGACCACTGATGTAGAGTATCTATCTGAGTTACCACATTTGTTTCTTACAGATGGCTCTCCAACTTCAGATTGTGCATCACGTGCTGTGCGCACTTATGATTGGCATTGTGGCATATAAGAATGCTTCAGATGGCAGTGAAATGTTCAAACATGTCAAGTTCTGCATGAGTGTCATTCTCTTTCATTCATACACCTGGTGCATGGCACCAGTATTACTTTGTAAGTATTCACAAAAACAAACCTTTGAATTGTGGTTTTCTGTATTATGACATCATGTAGTCTTATAAATGGTTGCAGCTCATATGATTACGCAGCACCATACCCTAGAACAGTTGTATTCGACCTTTATTGTTCGCATACCCCCAGATATAATTTCTCTTCAACTTTGTACCCCCAAAGTTGTTGGTGTATAATTCAAGTTATACATAGTATATAATCTACATCTAAAATAAATTAAATAAATTACATCCAAAATAATGTATTAAATAATAAGTTTTAAATGAGAGAAAGGAGAATCAAGATATTAAATAACAAATATATTATTGCCTATCATATAAAAATTAATAAAGGAACAGAGGTATTTTAGCAAAGCAAAATTACATGTATAAATCCCGCCCAATAGTGTTCATTCAGGTTCCAAAGCAGTATGTGGAATAAAATGAAACTAGCCCCCCAGATAAGAATTCCATAAAGGGGGGGAGAGAGAGAAATGGCGTTCACAAGTTGAATGTCCTTACGTCCGGTTCTCCTGTAGCTAACCCTAAATCTGGCCCTGATTATTCAATGTTTATCATAATTTTTTTTTTCAAATTTCACGTACCCCCTAAGATGTCTTTGTGTACCCCCGGTGGGTAGGCATACCCCAGGTTGAATACCACTGCCCTAGAACACCACACAATTTACAAACCTAAGTTCCTGGGAAAAACTTATGATGCATTTTTTCTTTGGCAGAAATTTAATTCCCCATGATGAAATCAGTAAGAACTATAAATTAATAATTTAACAGTTAAATAATGAACTTATTTAAATAAGAGCCACCAATACAGATTCCTGTTATATTAAATTTGTTAGATATGTTTTCAAAGATCCACACTATTGCCATGCTTGTAATTGTAAAATAATGTTTTATGTAAAATTTCTGGGCATGTTTATAATCTGTTTCCACATTATATTTTACATGTCTAGCTCTAATAGTTCATTAATTATTGCCAACAGAATGAAAGCTAAATATAGATTCTGTGTGATGGCCATGCTGATGTTTTACATTCCACCTGAAATTATCAGACTCCAGTGTCAAACACACCTCAAAAGTTTGGGTAGCTGCCGCACTGGTATTATTAAAGGCCGGAAGTTAAAGAAGCCCAAAGGAGCATCTGACTATAGGGGCATGTGCTCATACCAGATTTCAATCATCTGTCAAAAGGTGAAAATTATTATGCACTGGCAGATGATGATAACTAGGCCAAGAACAATATAACAATCTTGATCTTTTCCTTTTACAGTTCCTAATGAAGTCAAGCTAATGAAAAGAGAATATTTTAACCGTTGGTATGGACTAAATCCATTCTACATGGCATTAACACTATCAAAGATTCCCATCCAGGTAACGAAACTGCTTCTCGCTTACTAAAAAAAACTATTTTTTACAGCTTCCTAAACATTTCAGAGCTGTTTATTATTTAGTGAAAGTTCACAGCCCTGTGCCCCTTTTTTGCTTATCAAATTTGCTTCTGTTCACACACACAAACCTAAATATGTTGAATATCACGTTACAAGTATTTTCGCTAAAAATAACAGTGAAACTTATTTGTCTAATATTGTATTCTTATCAGATAATAAGGTTACAATAAACTGGCTACAAATCAAAAGAACTGTAGTATTTTTCAATTAAAACTACTAAATGTCTTGACAGAAACAGATGTCACTATTTTACATGATTTACTATATCAAATGGTGGAATTTCAATTTTAATATACAACTGGCAATTAAAACAGTTTCGGACAGATGCTAGAACTCTGACGTAACTAACTTTGGGGAGGGATTTAAAGTTAAAAAAAAATTAATCTAAGTACTGAATATAACCTGGGCTATTCCTTTTAGAAAATAAGAATGATAAAAAATCAACCTAACTTTGGACAAGTTTCAGAAGCGACATTCAATTTTTAAACTTTTTTTTTAAAGTTACATGCATGACAGTTCTGACTCCTCTTACTTGACACCGCAGGTTCTCCTGAGCATGATATTTCTCACGCTAGTCTACTTCTTGAATGGACTACCAGCTGAGTGGTACAGATTCTTCCTCTTCTCCCTCGTTGCCATCATCGTGTGCCTTGTGGCCGAAGGACTGGGGCTTGCCATTGGATCAGTCTTCAATGTAACGGTCAGTACTCAGATTGGCATCTGTAATGTGACACTGTAACACTACAGTGAGAATACCGACAACATTTCGGATTGCAGAAATAAATGGTTCGAATGAACTGAAACAATGAAATAAAATGCAGTTAAATATCCCCTGCTGGGTCTAAACAAACAAAATATATGTAGTCCATAAAACATGTAAGGTTTGAGGTTTCGGTGAGTATGAAGATTTCCGTCTTCTGGGTTATTGCGCTGCGTAGTATGGTCGACGTTAACCAACGTTTCAGAGGTCATACTGCCTCAGGGCGCCCTGATGACGGAGGCAGTATGACCTCTGAAACGTTGGTAAACATCGACCAGACTACACAGCGCAACAACCCAGAGGTCAGAAATCTTCATACTCACCGCTGTGAAAACCTCAAATCTTATATATTCTACAATGCTAGATTTATATGATTTATGATTCTCCCAACAGAATGGGTGTGCAGTGGGACCAATGGTCGTGGCCCCATTTCTTGGTTTGGCAGTGTATGGCTTCGACTTTGCAGAAAAAATCTCTTGGGTAATGAATGCTCTTATGAAGACGAGCTTCATGCGGTGTGGAATAGTTGCACTAGTGCTGACTGTCTTTGGGTTGGATAGGGCAGATCTGGACTGTAACGACATATACTGCCACTTCAAGAAACCCAAAGTTGTGTTGAGAATGCTCGACATAGACAACTCATCTGTATGGACTGAGATAGCAGCTTTGCTTGGAATCATGATTGTATTCAGGTCTCTATGCTATTTTGGTCTACGGTGGAGAGTTGCTACATAGTGCTTCAGGGCTAAAAGTGAAAAATCAAGAAACAAATTACAAGAGCACTCGGATAAAAATAATTTAAGACTGTAGGCAACAAATGGAAGGAACAAGTGCAAAAGGTGTATGTACATTATAAAACAACGGATTCAAACAGGTTATTACGAGTCTACAATGAAAACATATTGAAGACAACAAACGCACAGGCTAGAAAAAGTGAACAAAGAAATGGATAAGATAATTTAGAATGATAAAACTGTTAAATATGTTATAATTCAGTTATCACTTAACAAACCAAATAAATGGAGGTGCAGGAACTTCTTTGTTATGCGCTTCTCTTTTATAATGTGCTTTGTAATGTTTGCAAATAAATAAAAGATTAATAAAATCAAACAAGTTCTTACACATGGTTGTAAAGCATGGTCTCCTGCTCTGAGGGAAGATGATAATCTACAGGCAACTGGAAAGAAAGTGATCAGGAAAATATTTGTGCATAACAGGAAATAATGTTAAAGGCCACAAGAAATGGAGGGGAAAATGGGAAACAAATAAAAGTAGATAAATTCATCTCTTTGGGAAGTGTACATTAGACGTTCGAATTCAATATAAATATTAAATGAGATTTAATGTCAGCATAGAATTACTTCCCTAGCACAAGACATTCTGAAATATCCTATTGTTTGTTGGTTTATTCGATTATTTAATGAATCTTTAAGACCTGTGTGACTTATACTTCATCAAAGAATAGGATCATGAATTAAAGGACATTGAAAGAAGCAGCTGCAGCTTGGTATAAGATAATAAGCCAGAATTTGCTAGGAGGGGCTAAGTAATGTCACAAAAAATCTCAAAAGAATTGACATTTGTTTCTAACATGCACTGCCATAAAAATATCAAATTCTATAATTGGCATTTGGTCCAAGATATGAACCTGGGATCTCCCAAATACCTAGCTATCCACTATAGGGGCAGCCATTTTAAAACACGATACATCAAAGATACAATTCATGATACATTTATTTCACTATAAAAATATGTATTTTAAAAAATACATCATACAGAAATACAAATTAATGTCTGACGGCTAGTTACCAAAAGCCCAAAAAGCTCAGCACAGCTGTTCATTTGCTTGCTGAAAACTGGGCACTGAAGAAGCGGGAGTCTTGTTCCAGTCGACTGGCTTCATCTTCAGCTGCGAGCTTCATAATTATCAGCTTTGGGTCCACAAATCTCTGTGAACATCATTAAGAACATTAATAACACATGATATTTGGTGGTTTGTTACTAAACCTTTAGCTCGTATATCTAAGTTCAATCAACAATATCTGTCTGACCAAAGTCAGACAGACTGTTAGAAGACAAAATATTTCTCTTCTTCTTTTCCCGGTTTAACAATGTTTGTACATTTTCCGGTACCCTTTACGGGTCCCCAACCTCTTAGTTGGCTTGATCTATGGACATTCGTTAGGACTCCTTGGACGAGGGATCAGCCCGTCGCAAGGCCTCTACCTTTTTACAGGACAGCACAACACAGAAAAACATCCATGGCTTGAGTAGGATTCCAACCCACGGTCCCCGCGACCAAGCGGCACAAGACCCACGCCTCAGACCGCGCGGCCACTGCGGACCCCACAAAATATTTCTCTTCCACAATGAACTCTAAGTATGTAGTTTAGTCCTCTGATACAAGACAGTATATGCAATTACCTCCAGTGATTTCTTGAATATATGCAAATGGTTTACTATTCATGTTTTGCCAAAAAAAATACTGCATACCAGTAGTGTGCAATTAAAGCTGGCTGGGCCAGAAGTTATGCTACCAGCACAACTGCTCAGAGTAAATGTGTTCATGGCCTCATCAACTCTTTCAATGTTAATCAGTAAGTAATGCCTTTAAAGATGATGGTTACTCATAAATCAAACAAAAACAAAGAATGGAAAGGACTGCAAATTTGAAATATAAATGCTTTCCAAATGTGTTCCTAGTCACTTTGTATACTTTGTTGGCCTCGATACAAATTTATTGCGGACTAAAATTTATTGTCAGTAATTTTAACATACCAACACTTCCTTGTACTTCCTTAAATATGGTGTCACTAAATATTTAAAATAACAGCAGCATGTCTTCATAAGGTCTGTATTTTGCGTTATGAGCTGTTTTAGATAAAAATTATAAAGCTCATAAATGAGAACTTCGTGTAAAGTACAAGTTATGCTGAACTAATACAGTCTGAAATAAAATTCACCTAACAAATTTAATTGTAGACAACCATTAATAAACTTCAACGAATCTGTTAAGTAGTTTCAAAGATGAATATGTGGAGAGACATAAACTCTCCATTATGCAGTCTTTGAACACATTTTATGCAAGGAACACATAAACAATCGAAACATATTCACAAGAAAAGCCAGAAACACAGATACCAACTACAAATATTTTAGGGTACAGGAATAGAGAAGCATTTACCTTGTCAAGGTCAGGAGGAGTGGGGGGAGGTGACAACATAACTGTTTTGGAGCGACGGCAATATGAGCAAAGATCCTGGCCCCTCAGATTCTGCAATGCTAGACGTTCTTGTGACAGAAGCACCTTCTCCTGCAAGGGAGAGGGAAAGTAATGCATGTCATGCAGTCTACCTTAATTCTCAAGTACACATTTGATAGACGCTGGGTTCAACACAGGTGGATATGATGTAGTGGTAAACAGATAAATTCTGCCTGCCAGGAATCAAATCCCAGTCATCCTGACTGTAGCTGGAAACTATAATGACTGAGCCATTCCACCAATAAAAATTTACTGAACTTTCAGAGACAGGAGCAACACTTACTTAAGTAAATGACTGAGCTGTAGATTTTATAACTAAGATTTAACTTGAAATGACTTCAGTTTCTCACATTGACAAGTATGGGATGCTGTACTGTGTAGTCAGGTAAAAACTAACAAATCATTGCCCTGATGGAGACAGTAAACAAATCTACCAGACTATTGTCCGCGAGGCACAAGAGTAGACGTGGCCTTGTCAGCCGTTGCTTGTGTGGCAGGGGGAAAGTGGGTTCTGCGCATGCGCTGGTGATGTATTATCTTACCTAAGAACGTTGTGCCATCAGTCAGTCAGTCAGTACATTAGCTCATGACGTACGGCCTGTATAAGCTGTGGGTGTTTTTTGGTCCGCTAGTAGCACAGAATTCTACCCCACCTCCCTCAAAGATGTCAGGTCTACTCTCGTGCCTCGCGGACAATACATGATGTAACCTCCCAGATGATAATCATCTCAAAAATTTAATTCCAGCAAAGGAAAAGCAGTTTTTGCTACCACAATCACACTGGCTCTGGGTCCCATCAGCCTCTTATCCAATGAGTACTCCTTCCCTGGAGATGAAGCTGCTACAGTGTGAAACCAGCCATTCACCTCAACATAGTGATCAAGTTTTGTAGCCTCAATGTGTGGTGCTTAGGCAGAGACAATTTTATCTTTACCTTTGAATTTATAAAATGGTTTATCATGAATGCTACATAATCTTTAATTATAAAACATTTATATTTCACACTACCACCACAGGATATTTACAAGGTAGAATTCAAAGTGGCAAATGCATTAAAAATTACATAAATCTTAACTCTCTCTATTAGTGATTCAAGCAAGCTCATCAGACAGATTCTGCAAGCTTCGTCACAATTTTGACTGATGCTCAGAAGCCATTTTCTATCGCAAGTTTACAGATGTTTTGTATAACAATACAGATTACATACTACTATTAGTCCCTGAATTTAAGTAACAAACCTGTGCCAATCTCTTCTCACGATCTCGCAGTTCAACTAGCTGTTTCTGGATATCAGCAGTCTGCTCAGAACGTTGCTTCTCAATCCTGCGGGCTTCTTCTAGTGCCCATTTACCTTCTGCTTTGGTTGCAACAGCCATCTGTGACAGGGTTTCCAGCTCACGTGCTCTTGATGTTAAATCATGTTCAAGATCTTCCAGACGTCTCTTTTCTTCTTCCAGACGACGATGCTGATTCCTTATTTTCTCACACTCTGATTGTGCCTGCTGACTAGCTTCCTGTACTACTTCTAGCCCAGCCTCCAGTTCTGCACGAAGCTGTAACAAAAGAAAACATGGTGTGTAATTATTTTAAGGAGAAAATTAAAATCCTGTAAACAGATGCTGATGCTCACTATACTGCTGCATAGGGAAACAGTGTAAGGGTTGAAATGTGTGAATTAGGAAATAAAATAATCAGTAATGACATCTGATGGTGTTACACTGTAACAGACATAGACTCAGGCTGTCAGAGAGAACTAGTAAATAAATATTTACATGAAAGAAGAAGTACTATATAGTCTATGAAGAGATTTAAAATGTAACAAAATATGTGAAACTCTACTACCTTCAAAATATCAGGAGAAGGAGTACCGTGTAGTCGAGCCAATGTCTCAAGACGAGATTTCTCTGAAGCCAGGCTCAATTTTTCTTGCTGAAGCTGCTGGCTTAAAGTCTGCTGCTCCGATAACATTGACTCCTTCAAACTCTGTAACAAAAAATTTCTTTTCACATCTCTGGGCATTTTAAATTCCTGGAGAGGTCAGGGAATTTGATACTGTCATCTCACCATGGAGACCCAGATTCAGTGGCTGAACTCTCTATGTACAATCTTTATCCTGGCCTCTGCCTACATGGTGAGGATCCAGGAAGGAATCTATACTTCAGATGGAAGTAGACACAGATAAGCATGTTGCTCCTGATGATAGAAGATAAGGACGATAATCAGCACTGCAGCTTCACGCAAGAGCCAAGACACATTCTTATGCATCCTTTGCACAAATCTTCCCACTGTGCTGTTTGTAAACTCAGCACATACTGCCTTTGAAGTGCTATTGCACCAGAAGCTGCCAGGGTTATGGGATGGTGGTTCCTTGACCTAAATCACCTTATTTGTTGTGGGCCCCTTAGGGCTTGAGCCTTTGGGCCTCCACAAGACTCCAAGAGTCAAACACAGTACATGTCACACTTGGGTTGACCATAGTACCACAAGTATTTAGCTCAAGATGCAGCTGTTCTCAATTACAAATGTCATAAATACATCTGAATGCTGCTGTATATTGTAAATGTTTAACACTCATTTTTATCATAAGAGATTAGCACAACATGAGTAACATAAAACAAAAGAAAAGAAAATGTACAAGCAATACACGAATATCAGAACCACGAAAGAATGCAAATCCTAGAACAATCTTCTTAAACACAAGAGAGACTTGAACAAAAAGACTAACATATCCTACACTTGGAAGACATTATAAATATAGTATAATAAACTCTGGGAAATAGCCAAAAATAATTATCTGCAACACAAATGCTACTTTCATAAAGATTGTCCTAGCATCACACTGCCTTCAGTACACTTCTGATATGAAATACTAATCTATGAAGGACCAAAATCAATTGTTTGCCTGTAGTTCTTGCCGTTCTCTGTCAATCTGCTGCATGGCTCGTTCTCGTTCCTTCTCAAGGGCCTTGGCCGTAGCATCCAGGCGTGCTGCTTCTTGGCGCAAGTTCCACCTCTCCTCTTCAGCATTCTGTTTCTGTTCAGCAAGTTTCTGCTCAAGCTGTGAAACCAGGCCAATCAACCTTTTTCTTTCTTCCTCTGAGGCTGTCCTCTGCTTTCCCAAATTTTCTCGTGCAACTATTAAACAAATGGTAAAAGTAAAGAGAAAAAATATTCACTGTGCCCAAGAACCGAAGAATGAATAGATATAATGGGCACCAAACAATATGACTATGTAGCCTAAGCTATTGACAGCATCATGATTTTTGCTGATGATTTTTGTGTCTCATTGTTCTGTTGTGTCTTATTGTAGGTCCCTGCCACTGGGTATAAACCCATTTGCAGTCAATAATAAATAATAATAATAATAATATACCAAATGGCCCGGTGATGGCAACAAATGATGGTAATAAATATGTTAAGCAAACTGCACTTGTTTAGATATCAGACCCTTGGTCAGGAAATTATTTCACCCATTATATCAATGTCTGAGAAGATCAGTCTAAAGTCATTTCTACTTATGGAACCATTAACAGGAAAGTAAACCAAGATGAGTTAGAGGACCACACACACAGTATTCTTGATCCTCTTACAATGTTACTACACCAGCTTGGGCTGAGTACCTCTGAGCTCCACCTCTCGTGCCTGCAGAGTTACTTCTCGTATATCCAGGTGGCTATGGTGCTGACTGCTAAGTTCTGTCTGCAGCCCACTCAACTGTTGGCTGTTCTGTCCCAACTGCTCCACAGCTGCATGAAGACTTCTGCATAAACACATCTCAGAATAATATGAGCATCAGTTACTGCAGTGACTAACTGTAATTAACAATATGGAGCAGAGTTCTTCTTGAGAATAGTCACCCACCTAAAAAAAAAGGCATGCCATGTCTTGTACGGAACCCAAAAGTTCATTTCCATTTTAAAAAGAGCCCACCATTGGTACCAGTTCATACCCTCACCAAAATGCACAAATTCTACAGTGGCATTAATTATGTGATAAAATATGCCAGTCTGTTAGAGATACCGCTTGCAATTCACAAATTTAAAAATGAGTTAAATTCACATCATGTAAAATACTTACCTACTTGACTGTGTTGCAAAATGGAGTATACAGAAATGCAACCACATTACAAGAGGTACAGAGAGAATTTATTTGGAATATTATGAAATAACAAGGGGACAGAATCCAGTACCAAGATATTAGAAAACATGTGGAAGTAGAAATATTATAATAGCTGTTAAAATATGGGTATGGACAAAGGTTATGAACAGATGAAAACAGGAAGCTTCAACATTAAAAACAAAAGCATTAAAGGAGAAATGAGAACAAGGTAAAAGCATCAAATGAGAGAAGAAAATTGGGCACAGATGTAAGGAAGGATAAGATGGAGATGAATTACTCTGATTGAAACCTCCAGAGGTGATAATGATGTTAAGCTACAATTTCCACACCTGGAGTATGATGATGCTTCTTTTAGGGCATCATTCTCCATAGTACGTGCTCTATTCAGGTGCTCCAACATGTCCGAGTGCTGCTTACGAGCCTCTTCCAGATCCTGATGGTGCAATTCCCTCAACTGCTGCAATTCCTCCGCATGCTCCTTCTGTTGCGCTCTTAACCTCAAATGATGCTGTTCAATAAGAGAAGCCTGTTCCTCCTGCAATGTGACCAGAATGGAAATTGACGGCACAACATTTATTTGTCTGCCATAGTAACCCAATGGGTTGTTCCATGTGAAATCAACACAGAAAAGTAACAAATTCAAAATGACCTCACATGTTAATTAACTTTGGTAAGGTACAATCCTTCACAGGGGTCAGTTACCAAGCCAAAATTTCTTCGGTATTCATTATGCTCTATCGTAAGCAAAGGTAACCAGATGGACTTATTCTGTCTACCTCACATTTTTCAGCAGAGATCATGTTGCCATCAATTGGGTAGTCCTAGGAACTACACGTTCTGCTACATGACTACTCGAAAACAACTAATCAGATTTTCGTCAAACATGGTACGTAGGTTATGCCGTTAGAGGCTAGTTCAAACTTATTAATTTCCTGCAGTCAGTTATGTGGCAGATTCTTGAAGTCATGAGGAAAATTGATGTCATTGACTTTGCTTCTATCTATTAATGGCCATGTAAACTATTCATGCTGCTATTTATCAGTTGTCATATGAAGTACTTTATATCACATCTACTGGAAGACTGATGACATCATCACCTGTGCTACCATCTATCAATAATCACACAAACTATTCATGATGAAATATGTAAGTAGTTCAGCTAATGTATTAAATTGTTATGATACAATAGTAAAATAAGACAAAAGAGTAGTTTCTTTACTAGAACTGCTATTCTTATATATGTTTGAAGAGATAATGTAAAGCAGTGTGTGGCATAAAGGACATATCTGGAACTTCTGTGAACATGAAAACAGTATATACGCATCTTGCCAGGCTAAAAATATGCCATTTTATGGTAAATTTTCTATTCTCAAACTGCTACAACTCTACTCACAAATGAAGTACAAGTTCAAATTAATCTAAATGTAAGGAAATTGAACAAACTTTCCTGACATACTATGTAGTACACTTAGAGAGGAAGAG